GGGCATTACATAGTGTGAAATGATAACATAGGGCATTACATAGTGTGAAATGATAACATAGGGCATTACATAGTGTGAAATGATAACATAGGGCATTACATAGTGTGAAATGATAACATAGGGCATTACATAGTGTGAAATGATAACATGGGCATTACATAGTGTGGAATGATACATAAGGCATTACATAGTGTGAAATGATAACACTGGGCATTACATAGTGTGAAATGATAACACAGGGCATTACATAGTGTGAAATGATAACATAGGGCATTACAAAGCGTCTTTCATACTCACACATACATGTCTTCTACAGGAGTTCATGTGGTACCGCAAACATACATATATGCGATTAGATGGATCATCCAAGATATCAGACAGGAGGGATATGGTTGCTGATTTTCAATCTAGGTAATAAGAGTTTCTTTGTCTTCCAATATACTAATGTACAGTATTCGTCACATTGCTCAAATGTTTCACATTCACACACAGAAAAATAAGTCATTGAAAGATGTTTTCCAAAATAGTCACGTTGACGAAATTTATAACAAAAATTTTTAATAGTAAGTCACTTTGCATAATATGTCATTTGTAATTGGATCAATTGACACTGAATGTACCATCTCTTTACAGATCTGACATTTTTGTCTTTCTTCTGAGTACTCGCGCTGGTGGCTTGGGTATCAACTTGACAGCGGCTGACACAGTGATCTTCTATGATAGTGACTGGAACCCAACGGTGGATCAGCAGGCCATGGATCGAGCTCATCGACTAGGGCAGACTAAACAGGTCACTGTCTACAGACTGGTATGTAAAGGTACTATTGAGGAGAGAATACTGCAAAGAGCAAAGGAAAAAAGTGAGGTAATGTGAGACATATTATCTAATCTAAACAAGCTTATCGCGTTCTTCTTTGTTTATAATGTGACATTTTCCCGTTCACTGGGGCTTCACTAACATTTCTGTATGCTTGGAGGCTATTCAATAGCCATATAATGTTAGCAGGACTTTTCTGTAATTCGTGTGTGTGTGTGAAATAGTGTTAAACTATTTTTTTTTACATAATTAATTATGTGTGCTGTGTATTGTTCCCATAATATTCTTTGCATTTGCGAGTCTGACGAGTTAAATTCTGCTCAAAATTCAAACACTGCATGTGATTAGCACTGTCGTTTGTTTAATAAGACATTTCTTGAAATTGAATAATATTCTTAACAGATAAAAAAAAAAGTCAGATTGGCCAACTAATAGTTATGAGGCAAGCATTACTTCATTGTTACCTATTATTGTAGATCCAAAAAATGGTGATATCAGGCGGTAATTTCAAACCAGATCAGTTGAAACCTAAAGAAGTAGTGTCTCTTTTGCTGGATGATGATGAGATTGAACGCAAATGTAAGTCAAAAATGCTTTTTAAATGTCCTTTGTGTTATTGTATTGTGAAGTCTGCATGGTCATATTTTGGGAGTAAGGGTGGTGTTTATTTTATTGATGATTTCTATATATGACGCAGTGATTTGCAATGAAGACAAAAGAATTCCACATTGGCATGTAAATTTCAAATTTCCTGTGTCTGTTTCTGAAGGTCATTTTGTGTGGGAAAAATGGTGAGAATATTAAAAATGATGCAGCTTGGTGACTAATTAATGTTCAGTGCTCTTAAATTGTTTGTTTTCCTCCATGCTGTGCTTTTAATACCACTCAAGGCAATCAAGTAGTTTTAAAATGTCACATCAAAACTGATGAACAACTTAATTAATCAAATGAAAATCTGTGTTCCTAGGTTTTTTGTCGCAAAGTAGGAAGACCATGAGTGCTGCGGGTTGGGACACTCAAACATACAAATACTGTGAAATCGCCTTCTTGAGAAAAGTGTATTTATTGAAAAATGCAG